GGCAATGTTTACCTACCTTTAGATAGCAATTTTCTGAATTTCTGAGTTGCTGTGAGTTGTTGATCAGGATCATCCGAAAATATCATCTGCACCATATCTACTGTAATAACTTCTTCCTAAAAATGCAAGCAGAATTTTTTATGTGTAGTACTATGCACACTAAGAGATAACATTCTAAACACACTTTAAACTATTTACCTCTGGAATAGGTACAGTAGAGCTGACATCAGGATCCTGAATTGGGCTTTCTACCATAGATTCCTCATTTCCCGGGAGAGAAACATTTCGGCGTTTAAATAGCTGAACAAAGGAGAAATTTTTGAGAGACATTAGAACTTATCAATGCATGGGTATTGATGACATACACTTGATGAAATGTTTTCACCAATACCAGTCAAAGGATTTTAACTACTCACCTTCTTATTCATCCATGCAAGGGGAATTCTACACAAAAGTTTAGATAACATAAAGGAGAAAAATACTACCATATCTGTACCTTGATAAACTGCACAGCAACACTTCACATAGACATTTAAAACTAAATTCTTATTAGTTATAAAGATCCATAAATATTTCCACCAGTAATCTTTTATCCCTTATAATTATCATTCACTCTAAGCAAGAAATAGCATTCAACAAGCTACTTTCCTCTTTCTTAGGTTTTAGGCTAAAATAATCAAGCCATAGGCAATGTTTGTGTTTCAACACATTGCATTCCTCCCTTCGACAGAAGATCACTAAGCAGCACCTGTATTTCATGCCCAGTTGAAGAAAGATTAAACCAGAAACATTTTCACATAAAAGAGAAAAAACAATATAGTGTGAAAGTTCACCTTGAAGCTATGTAGCATTAAACAATTCTCTATGTCCAAGAATTGCTTTACAATTGGCTACACACACTGCCTATGCTCAGAATACATACCAACACTGTAGTATTTGATAAACTATGTTCAATGAGTCTCCCTTCGTTTTCTGGCATTCAAGCAAAACATTTACATTGACCTGTTCACTTCTAGAAACCAAAACTAAATTTTTATCTTTATTCTGGTACCAGAATTTACACCTATTCTAACTAACAATTCTAAGAATATTACATTTGTGCCTTTAAAAAGGAATGATAGACCCTTGGTCCCTTGACTAAGATTTCACCTGTAAGCATAATAATGAAACCATGTACTAAATCGTGAAGGTTTTTTCCCCCTAGGTGTCTAGAGACCTAGGTTTCTGCTGTTGTACATGTCCAAAACAAAGAACATGTTTACACCCAGCTGTATTTCAACAGGAACCTAAACCAAGGCATTCTCTCCCTTGTTCAATGCACTTATGAATTAGGCGTAATTCTGGACATAAAACAACTACAGAATCCTGAATACAAATGAGGCTTAATACCACTTWAACCCACAAAAGAAGAAGAAAAAAACATTCAATTTTTGGAAGACCAGCCACTCTTTCTAGCACTCAACAAGGACATAGAAGCTCTTGGTTGAAAAGTATAAACTTATCTGGTCTATCTACCAGTTACAATTTCTTCTGGAGCACAAGCAGTCTCATATCCCTGCATAAACTCATTCTCCCCAGTTCAGAAAGAGCTAAAAAACACTAGTCCAAAAAACTAAGATCAAGGAGAGCATAATAGTAGTCTCATTGTTACAACAGTAACAATAGTAGTYTCATTGTTACAACATTGTCTCCAATCAGCATGGGAGAGGAAACACCCATAATTTTCATAATTTATTTAGGGAGCATTTAATACAAAATACATAAACAAAACTTTCAGCAGGAACTGCAATGCAGTTACCCATTCACAGGTAAATGCTCCAGTACCATACCACTTCTGACTCCTACCCYTTGGCCCAAGTAATTTACATTCTTTTTCCATGCACCACTTTTCCAGTAGAAGGGTAAGCATTCCCACCTGGAAGCAGACTGTAATTCAGAGCCTGGGACACTCTCTAGGTTGCGGGAGACAAACTCATCCATTTCAAAACAACCAGAAAAACAAACTACATTCCTTACCCTCCTGGCAAGATACTACTAAGCATTTTAAGAAAAGGCACTATAACAAACTATGAAATTATACAAAGCTCCATGTACTSTGATCACTAAAAATTCAATGAGAACAACTGCAAATGTTTATATAGTAKTTCAGGGACACTAACTGGTAGCTGCTTTATTAAGTTAGTACGGAAAAACTCTTGGGCAATTTGCAGCACAGTATCAAAGATGAAAATAATCCTCTCCCTTCAAACAGCAAAACTTTGACCCAGACTCTAGAAGAGAATGCACGATTTCAAATTCGTACTTGAAATATGAGTGTTCTTTCASTCTAGTCTCACATGTTTAAACCTAGATTATGGATTAAAGTTAAAAGTCATGGCTCTCCTCTGTGGGCTTTGTTAATTTTTTTATGATCCTATTGAGAGGTGCTTCCCATAATTCCAACGAAAACAGACATTCAATCCAGCACTCCTGGATTCTACTCCAGAGGATGAGCCTGCTCATGTCCTTTCAGGTCCCTGAATATAGTTCCACAAGCACTGAACAGTTAACAGCTCACCAAGATGCTTACCTGCTCTTCTCTCTTCTGTTTCCGAAGCTGGATTCCTTCCTCCTCTCTTCTCCTGCGCATTTCTTGGGGATTAAGTGCATTATTCTTGTAGCTCTTCATTCTGAAGTTATCTTTACCTGGGCTTGCCATGTTATCTATTGAAAAAATGAAAAATTACTGCAAAAGGCCAAACCTGGCATTTCTTGTACTATGTAAGTATCTACAGCAGCCACTATATATTTTTGCATCTGTTTGCAATACCCAGTTCATCAGCAAAAATCTTTAATGTAGAAATCACAGCACAATCGATGCATAGACAGACATTTCTAAACTGCGTATTAAACTACTACTGAGTTCATCTCAAGGATCAGATACATCACTTAAGGACATTAGCTGCTGTAAAAATAAACTATGCATACTACAAGCAAACTGAAAAACAAAAAGCAAAGATATTATGCTGCTAAATTTTGGTTCTGTCAGCAAGCAAGCAAAGAAATTTTCTTCCCCCTCTCATAAAGATGACATTAAATGTGTTACAAATAAGGACAAAGTTGATAAAAAACCTGCAGTAATTATTGCTTCATTTAATACCTTATGGCATTGAAAGTTTCATTACTTTCAATGTCTCACAAACATAACAGAATCTAAGGGTTATGCTTCTCCTTTTAAACAGTGGGCAGAAAAATAATTTAAGGGTCAGTAGCACCCAGACAGGCATACTCTTTTCCATTTTAAACTAACAAAATTATTGACTCACTTCAATTACCAGCTCTTTTAATGGGTTTAGAGGATTAGAATCTGTCATTTCAGGTATGTCGGTWGCGGAAAGATAAAAGTGATAGCTCATGATTCTGTCATCAGAATGATCAAACTGAATGAAAAAGGTTGCTAATAGCATGGTGCCTTTTTTTGAAACTAGGACTGTAGCCTTCATCTGAGAAACAACCGTTAAAAACAWGACTCAAGACTCTACACAAACTATCACTTGTCTGGAATTCTTCTACAGAGAGTAAATATGTAAACTACAGCTCTTGAGCTGTGCACACTTGTCTAACAACTTCCATGCTGAGACAATTTTTTTTTCAGATTTGGCGTTTTTGTTTGTTCTGGGTTTTTTATATCAGCAGTTCAATAAACAYAAGCTATGAGAGGAAAACAGACTGCACACTTAGGCTGACACCAAGGACTCAGCTGCCTGTTTCCCCCAAGTATCTGCCTCACGGGCTCTTGTAAAGTGCTGACATCTCTGCACCACAATGCTAAGTGCACTACTGTCTAAGGCAAATTTCTAGCAATAGYCATGTAACTTTATTTTCCCAACAATGCTACTGGTTTATCTAGTCCTAAAACACCATCCATTTCTTAATCCCTCATGTCGTGATAATTTACTTGTACCAATGAAACTGTCAGGCCAAGTGGACTGAACAAGAGAAGTGCACATTCAAARTAAYCCAGMCACCAGYTCTGYAAAGAGTTACAGAAGGTCAACTGCAAGGAAGGAAGGTCTCATCAAAACTGTTTTTAAATAGAAGTTTACAAATTTACAGCTTCATTCCCCTGCCAAGGCTTATAGTATAGACGACATCGTAAGGGCAACAAGACTGGCAGTCAGTCCCAGGTTTCACACCTTCTACATCTGAGATCCAAGTAAGCCTGCATTTCTGTGCTACAAAACTACTCCCGTTTTAACACCAAATCCCTCCACCCATCATATCCTGCATTGCRCCCACTTGTTGTACATAGTCTTAGAACTACCATACCACTTTCTTTTCTCCTTATTGTCTCCATGAGGCTCCCTAAACACGGCGCCTCGCTCTCTCTCCGCCCCCTCCCCGGCCCGACGCTGCCCACAGGCTCCGCACCGGCCAAGCCCGCAAGGACTGACCAGGACTGAGTGAGCTCTCAGCCCGAGAGGCCGGGCACCCACCCACCCAGCCCGGCTCCTCACAGCGAGGAAAGCTCTGCACCCACTTCCTCGCCAGAAGGGATGGAAAGCCCCCTCCATCGGTAACAGGGCAGGGAAGGAGGAGGACGGCAGAGCCCGCTTGCCGGAGGAAGCGGGTACCTCAYCCCAGCCCCGACCGAGCTGCCGTGMGGGCAATGCCCCGCGGGAGCCAGCGACAGACCGGCCTGCGCCGGGGAGAGCGAGTGCACCGGGCACCGCACCCAGCCCCACAAGGGATGCACCCCCTGCTGCCCCTACCGGCCGGCTCCCGGCGCTTTTCCCTCCTTACCCATCGCGGCGGACACGCCCGGCGCCCGCCGCCGTCCAAACGCGAGATCCTGGCTCCGGAACGCTCCGCACCGGCGGCACTCACCGACGCAAGATGGCGGACGCCGCCCCGCCGCGCGCCGCACTGGCCGGGGGGCGGGGCCCGCCCGTTCCCAGCAGGCTGTGCGCGGCACGCGCCCGCCCCAGGCCGGCGAACGGCCCTTCCCGGCGGGAAGCGCGCGCGGGGGGCGGGCGGAGCGCGGGGCGCTGGGCGGGAAGCGGAACGGAGCTGAGGGGATTCCGTCCCGTCCCGTCCCGTCCCGTCCCGTGGCGCCGCGATGGTGCTGTGCGACGTGTGCGGGCAGGCGCTGCCCTCAGAGGCGGCGGCCAGGCGGCACCTCCAGCGCCCGTCTCCGTGCCGTCCCCAGCCCCGCTGCCCGCTCTGCGCCACCGCCGCCGCGGGCTGCGACGAGCTCCGCCGGCACATGGAGACGGCCCACCCGGAGCCGGGCCCGCCGGGCTCCCACCGCCCCGAGGCACTGCCCGAGTGCCCTTTCTGCGGGGAGGTGGCGGGGCGGGAGCTGGAGGAGCACGTCAGGRCGCGGCACGGGCACCTGCTGGGCGCCCCGGGCTCCGGTGAGCGGCGGCGGAGGGCGGGAGGGACRGAGGGATCTCCCCGCGGCGGGCGGGGGTGGCAACGGAGAACCGGCCGGGGGATAAAGTTGCTGCAAGGGAAATAGTTATGTATTTGCATACTGTATTTTATTTTAGACGTGATCATAATTTTGTTTTGATTAACTGGCCAAAGCTGCGGGTAGGTATTTCAGAAACTTAAAGGTGGCATCTCTGCTAGTGGGTGATACCCGTAGAAGACTTGCATTTGTGATGTAACAAGCTGGRTATACTGACTACATAAATGATGGTTAGTATGCAAAATGTGCCAGAACAGTCAACCRCACTGCATAATCGGTGATTAAAATTTCTTAAGAATCTGCGCAACAGCACGCCCACCCCCCCCAAGTCGCAGCATTGAACATTTTACTTCCACGGGTGCAAATAATGCAGAGGTTGAATAATTTACTTGCCTGCATGCCAGYTTCTACTTTAAAAATTATTATATTAAGGATGTTTGGGTTTTTAATGCATTTGGCATGTTTCAGAAAACTGTGTTTGTAGTGTTAAAAGCTGYTGGTGAATTTCGATGATTATACCACCGAAGTTTTCCTCCACCCAGTCATAAACATTAAGCTGGGGCAAATGACTTCCAGAAACTGCTAATACTGGATATCAATTCTTGTGTTTTGTGAAGCTAGGAAGGTGCAGRTAAAATCTAAGGACTTGAGAGAGGTAAAGGAGTCAGGCAGTTGTCTCTTTCCCAGTGACAGGACAACAAAGCAGCAGGCACAAGTCACATTTCAAGAAATGCCACTTAGCATGAATACTTACKTTTACTGTGAGAGTGATCAAACACTAGAGTATGTTTTTTGGGGAGTTTGTGGAGAGTCTGTAATTGGAATTATTTAAAAGATTACTGGGAAAAGCTTGTGTAACTTACCGAGTTTAAGTTGACCGTTCTACCAGGGACTAGATGGTCTCCAGAAATCCATTTGAACTTTACCTGTACTATCCAGTATCCTGGATAATAATCCTAAAACTGCAGAAAGAACATTGATTTGAGGAGATAAAGGAAGATTAACAAAATAGTAATGACAGCACTTTTTACTTTATTCTTTCAGCCSACAAACTGCTGTGTTATTACATGAAAGTTAAATTCGTATAAACAAATGTTCTTCTGTTAGAAGAACACATCTTTTTATTAATGGTTTGGTATTTCAGACTAAGCATTTCTTGATACAAATATTATTACAACGAATTGTGGACTGTGAGTTAAATGGGGCAAAACTTAATTGAAAGAAGGGAAATATGTCTAAAATTTTCATGTATTTAGATACAAATTRAGTAGTTAAGAGAGTAACTGCTGTTTAGAATTTGCTGCCTTTCACTGGGGAATTTCAGTGGCAGCACCAACTTCATTGCTGTGTGTATGTCTTAGACTGTGTATCAGTTAGGGGATGATTCTCGCAAAAAAAAACAACCCAAGGAATTGCATTAATCAAGAAACTGCATTTCTTTTTCAGACAGAGGAAATGGTGAACAGCTGTATGAATGTCCTATGTGTAGTCTTACCTGTACAAACATTCAGATTCTTGAAGAACACGTGGATTTACACTTAGAGGAACATAACTTTTCAGAAGGTACATGAAAGGATGCACCCTGTATAATACTTGAAAGCATTTTYAAATATTTGCATGCTGTAATATAGAATCTCACATGAAATTTAAAATKAATATTTCTGTATTTAAAGGGAGCTGGACACGTGTGTAATGAAATTAACATAGTTAGATCCTGTCACTGGTCCAAATGCTCTACTTAATTACCATGCTAAAAGCAATCTGTGTCTATGCATGGTTGTTAATTAAATGAACTGCATGTTAGCCAAAAAAAAAAACAAAACTTAGTGCAAAAAATGTTTAAAAGACAGCAGTATAATATGTTTGTTATTCTAGCTCTACCGAAGGTTTACATCAATGGAGTTTACAATGGCATGTTCCACTGTGATCAGYTGAGAATTAATAGCTTATGAAAACCTCGTTTTTTTCTCAATTCTTTTCTGCAAATAATTTCCTGATTCATTAGTCATAGCATTAAAAAACCAAAATTAATTGTATTTTAGYATGGCTAACAGAATCATAAAGATTGCTTCTTCAGTTCTCTCATCATGAATTTTTGTCACTTCCTTATGAGACTGCTGGCAATGGTCCTAGAAGCTAAGAAGTGTGTGGTATTAAAGGAACTGTGTGACTTCTTGCTAACAGGGAAGTGAAACAGTGACGTGAAACACAATAAACAAAATCTGTCTTCTCAGTGGTAGAGGTACATGCATTATTTGCCTAGTAATTGCTCCAATAACTGCATAAACTTTGTCCAAGTTGAGTCTGAGTGCTGGCAGACAGAATGCACTCAGTCCTGTTCAGTGTTCATTGCTAATAGCTCAAAATAATTTGGGATGCATCTCCTAAAATTAATGCTCAGTTGTGTTTATATATGTCTGCTTGAAAAGGAATCTTTAAAAATTAAACAAATGATCCCTCAAAGCATTCCTAACCTCCTGACCAAGTTCTCTCACTTTGGAATGTTATTCCTGGGTAGGTGGAAACATCAGAGATCTAGAATTGGCTCAGCAGCTCCAAACTGAAGAGCATGAACGGCAGAGATCAGAAGAAGAGAAGCRAGAGAGGGAAGAATTTAAAAAGCTGCAGGTATGCTATTGTTTCTAAATGGTAAACTTACAAACAGCTGTGCCTCTAGAAGCTGAATATCTTGGAATTGTGATGTCATGGAATGGCTATACTGGGCCAGATCTGTGCAAGTCACAGTGTCTGTGTTGAGGTAATGGTGCAGGGATGGGTTGGAAGCAAATTCAACCCCTTGGCAAAACTGATCCTGGCAGAGGTGCTGGGCAGGACAGCCTTGAGCTGCTTGGCTTTACTGCTTTGAGTGGTGCTGGCTCAGGATGGGGCTGGCTGCTCTCTGTGCTTGCTGTTCTGCTCTCCCAGCACACCTGCTGCCCGTGCTCCATTCAGCCCTAGTGCTCTGCCTTGCAGTGCATCCTGGAGCATATTCCCTGCCAGAGTGCCAAAGGCTTAGAGTATCCTGGTTGTCCTCTATGGAATACCATCACCTGCTCCAGGTCCTGCTTCCCTCTCTCCTGTCTCTCAGCCCTAGTACCTCACTTCCCACTCTCACCACCTCCTTGCCAGACTGCCTCTGTGCTAATGGCTCTGCCAAGAGGGAGCAGAGGGATCTGCCTGCTCTTCCAGGTGTGACTTTCCTATTCCCACATTCATATTCAGGAATGAAGCTTGGCCTTCAACTCTAAAATACTTGTAATTCTGAAGATTTTATCTCACCATTTTTCAAAGTAACTGATAGTGATTTTGAGAAACTGCATGGGAGAATTAATTCAAAAGATGAATTTTAAAAATGTGATTTAAATCATGCACATTCTGTCCCTCACAGAGACAGTATGGCTTGGATAATTCTGGTGGCTTCAAGCAGCAATTTGTAAAGAATATGGAAAGAGAAGTTGATAGAGGAAGGATGCTGCCCTTTGAATATCATAAGAGAAAAGCTGACATGATGGAAAGTTTGGCTGCTGGTATAGATGATGGAAAAACAAAAACCTCAGGTAAAGATGCTGAAATTACACAACTAAAACGGTGCTTTTAAGACGTAGTTTGTAGTGACCAAACTGATCTTCAGTTTAGTTTTGGTTGTGTCCTTGTTCTAAACCTTATTTTCTCAATCAATCTCTATTGTTATAGTCCTAAAAGCTTGGTACCTTGTTACTCTGCATTCAGACCTGAAGCTGTTTTTCTTTTTTTTTTTTTTTTTTTTTTTTTTTTTTTGAATGAAGTCGTCTGCTTAAGGGCACAAATGCGGTATGTATCAGAAGATGCAAATGTCTTATTACAAGCTGGTTGCCCTTGATTCTATGCTTTTTTAGCACTCATTGGTTCCTAATCCCGTGTAACTGTTCAAATTTAGAGCAGTTTTTTTGTCTTGTGTTTCTGATAGTTGTTATATTGTGTAAGCTGGTTGCAGGTAAACAGCAGTGATCATCTGGTTACAAAGTCCAAGAGAGGACTGGGAGCAGTAGACAGTCTGCTTGATACAATTTCTTTTAAATGTTTTATAGTTGGTGCAAAAACACAGGGCAGATGGGTTTCTCTGTCCCTTTCAAAAGGTTCCCTTGTCTTTACTTTCCAAGACCACAGTTCAAAGGTATTTTTGTCTATTGCTAGTGGTTCTGGTTTACAAAATATTTACTTGGTTCTTGACAGGTAAAATAAAATTTCTTCTGTATAATAGAGTGCATGGAAATAGCACATTTAAACTTTTCATTCTTGGTAGTGATTTAGATTTCAGAGAGGTTATTAGAAAATAATTTGTTGTGATTATGGAATACTTCTTTTCACAAAAGCATGGCAATGAAGGGCCTTTGAATATTTGCATATATGAATTGGAGAGGGCATTCCCAAGCATATTCTTTCATGTAACAAAGGAGAACTTGGAATATCCTGCAAGTGGATTATTTTAAAATATTTACAGTAATTCTGAAGTTCTGTCCCATTCCTTTTTTTTTTCTTCCCTCTCTTAGTTTTCCCAAGAAAAACAGGTTGGGTGAATAAAAGGTTTACACGGTATGCATAAGAATTGCCATTTTTTCATGGCAGGGGCAGGGGCATAGGAATTCTTTATTGGTGACACACATTTATACCTTTTCTATATAATTGTAATGGTTCCTGTAACTATCACAGCTTATTAAATTCATGAAAGTTCACACATTAAATAGGTGCAGTTTTGTGACTTGAGTTCTAAATGTAATATAGGATCAGTTTTAAAATAAATTGTATTAATCTGTATCTGTTCCAAGTTGGGGAAGGAATTTTGTGGGAAATTTCGTAGTTCATTTCACAGATAAACTTYCTATTTTGTCTTCTTTTAGGAGTCATTGAAGCATTGTGCAAGTACTATCAGAATGAGAACAAAGATGTGAGGCGTGTGTGGCTTTCAGCAGGAGTAGATCACTTCCACTCATCCTTGGGTGACAGAGGCTGGGGTTGTGGTTACAGGAATTTCCAAATGCTCCTTTCCTCACTGTTGCAAAACAGCTTCTACAACGACTGCCTGAGAGGTATTAAACAAAGTGCTGTTTGTGTCACGTACCTTGGATGACAACCTGGTGACTGATGTTTTGCCTTTTCATTTACACAGCAAGTCTTACAAGGTCAATGATACCTATTAAGTGATTGTTATACCACTGGAACTTACTGTGAGAGTGTCAGAGGCAAGACATGATGTGGTTGAAGTTTTACCTTTATTTTTTTTTGGTACATCTTTGTAGCATCAACTGCGTCTTATAAAAGAAGCTGAATATTTTTAATTAATAGACTATTTCAATCACTGTAACAACAATTCAAAAGCTTTTCTATTTCAGATACTACACTAATTCCTAGTATACCAAAGATTCAGTCCATGATTGAAGATGCCTGGAGAGAAGGTTTTGATCCTCATGGGGCATCTCACTTCAACAACAGATTACATGGTTCCAAAGCATGGATAGGAGCATGTGAAATTTATTCACTGTTAACCAGTCTCAGGATAAAGTAAATATTGCTTTTTGTTGTTGCTGTTATTTTTAAGAGATTTTAAGTGCTGATTTAACCTATAAAGATTAGGATTCCCAGCTGTGTGATGGCAAAGCCACCTTAATGACTGAATTTAACCAATATATAAACAGTTCTGATTTAATGCAACATGAACTTAYAGGTACATGTACTGCTTATAGGAGGTACATAAATGTCTTAGACCATTGAGATTTGAAGTGGAATTATACCACATGTTTAAAAAAACTTTGTCTCTCTATAAGTTTTTTTTCTCAAGAATATGAATTTCAGTTAGTTTCTGTGGCTTTTAATTGGATTCCCTAGTGTTCATGTATCACATTAAAAAATGTAACAATTTTGCAAGCTTCACAACATCTTCTTAGATTGAACAGAGTAGAGCACTTTTGGTTGTGTAATAAATTTTCCAGTTTGGGACAATATATGTTGCATTGCTTTGTAATTATTTGTCCTGTACTTTTTAAATATTCCTGTATTTAAAAAAAAGGTAGTAAGGACCACTTGGTGCAGGAGGAAGATACCTAGAGGTGAAAAAATTGTTTAACAAACAATCTGCTTGAAATTTTATTGTTTTCATTCTCAATGTTTTGTAGGTGCCGAATCATTGACTTTCATAAACCCACTGGCCCCATGGGTACGCACCCTCGTTTGTTTGAGTGGATTTTGCATTACTATTCTACAGATAGTGAAGGTGGTGCAAAGGTGGTGTGTACTTCCAAACCTCCTATCTACTTGCAACATCAAGGTCAGTGTCACAATATACTGGTTCCTTTCTATTCTCTACCTTTCTTTATATGTACTGCAGTTCAGAGCAGCATTTTTTATTCTTCATTGAATTGAAAGCATGGCTTTATTTCCCGTAATTTTCTTGCCTAGTAAGAGCAACATTAAAATTTGTACTTTTATTGGATGTAACAGTTGAATGTCATTGGGATCTCAAGTTTTTGACATGTACTTTTTACTTACAACTATCTTATTAAATTTCAAGTAATGCTTTCCTTGATCTGAAAATCAGTCGTGTGTTACAAGGAAATAAATGGGATTTATGTGTTTTTTAACTACTGAAACTATTTTGGTATTAGGTCATAGTCGTACTGTTGTTGGAATAGAAGAGAAGAAGAACAAAAGCTTATGCTTGCTACTGTTTGACCCGGGATGTTCTTCCCAAGAAATGCAGAAACTGCTGAAACAAAACAGTGATGGATCTGGTGTCAAACTACTTCGGAAATTTGTGGGTAGCCTAAAGGAAAAGCAATACCAAATAGTGGCTGTAGATGGGGTGCTCTCTTTGGAAGAGAAAGCCGTAAGTATCTCACATAGTTTCWGTTTGTGAAAATTTAAGACCATCTGCATCTCTTCTTTAAATTCATATGCATATATGGTTGCATGGTGGATTTTTACATCTCTTCACTTTCCTTGTTCTTTTTCTCTCCTGCTTTCTGCCTATGTAATCCCAGGATATCAAAACCAAAAATGTTTTGTATATAAATGAATGCCACCTTGATGGAATTGACAGCTGAGTCTTGTATGAAGCTTTCAGCTATTTGCAGATGTAAATTAGGCTTTTTTAAACTTCTCATTTTCTTACAATGTTTTCTCCTAAGTAACTTAGTGTGAGCATGTCAGTTACTTAAAAACACTCATAGTACAAAATTACATTCAGAGGTTTGATCTGTTGAAATTGTCATAAATCCTGTCTATGTGTTTCGGCATTTTGTCTTTTTTAAGACCTTAGAAGTTTTCAGCTGATTGCCAGATGTGGTTTTTATTTCTTAAGCTTTTTCTTTCCTGCACTGTTAAATTGATCCTGAGCACCCATGTTCCAATTCTGTGGTGTTTTATTAGCACTGTTCAGCATGTTCAAGCTTCAGGAGAGACTTATTTAAACTACAAAATAACTGGCAACTGAATCACTTGCTTAGCTGCATTTAACATGTGTATGGTGAAATGAGGTGTTGTCCTAAGTGTTTTCTGGACCTGAACATGTCAGAAGTATCTGAAACATGGCTGTCCTTTCCTATTGGAAAAAGCTTTAAAATTCAGGACACAGTGGAAAAAGAAATGGTGTTTGGGATTTGGCAGGGGGGTGTGCATTCATTTGGTTTTGGTTTGCCACTTTTTTCCCCTTCTTTTCAAATATATGATTTGTATTTAAAAATGTAATTTGTTTAGAGTGTTGTCTTGAAACTTCCCATTTAATTAAGATGAAATGTAACCCCTTATATTTGTTAAGATTACTAAACTACTAGTTTGAAAGAAGCTCTTTAAAGTGCTGCTTTTGTTCACTGAAGTATTTTCTTTTCCTCTCCCTACCTATTTTTAGGCTCGTTGCCATGCTTCTCAGGTCTTAACATCAGAGAAGATTCCATAAAGGATACCTTTGTAACCTGTTTCTGGAACTTATTGAGTGCAAAACATTAAACTGCTGAACCATGGACCCTAACTCAACAATTCTTAAACTATGTCCCCATGAATGCTTGGAAGCTTTGGGAAAGCACGACACTGGAGTAAACCTGTAGTTTTTGTGTTCAGTCAAAACTCTGACATCCTGATAAAACTGTTACCGAAACATTGCCATCTTTGTCTTACTAGAAAATGTGTTATTTTGTTAGTTGCTTAAATTAGCAACACCTAATGTCTTGTAGCAAATTATGCACTATTAATGAGCCGTGGATAAATATATGATGGAGTTACTTCATTGAAGTTCCTCGTCATGGTTTACCTCTCTAAATGTGTCTATGCTGCCACTGTGACCAGTCCTCTATGTTTTCATGATTCAGTCTCTTCCACCAAGGATTAGTTTACTAGTGAACTTGTTTTCAGTTGGCTGACTTCTCTAGATGGATCACTTTYAAACATGAACACACATGCTTAGGAGTTGGATCAGTGTTGGCATTGGCTAAGAAGGCTAAGAAAGTGGTGTCCAGGATGGAATGTGTGTGCTTTAGGTGCTGTGCAAGATAATCCTTTGGGAGGAAGAAAATAGTCCTTTTGTACTATGAATGAATAAAATTAATATATTTTTTGAAGTATTTATTCCATCTTTTTTTTTTTAATTTCTACTCTTTGTATATTTTATAATGTATATCCCAAAAGGACATTTGAACCACTTTTTGACTAGGGGCTCTGTTTTTCTGAGTTAAGGCCATTTAGGAGACTGTATGTCTGCTGAAACAAGTACCTTGAGTGTTTAAGGCACTTTACTGTAACTAGGACATGCTGCTCTGGTTGAATWTAAGAGCCCTGCCCCTCAGGAGGGGAGGTGAAGGCTTGGGAGCCATAGTGGAGTGTTGCAGGTAGCCCAGGATGTTTTTGCCTTAGCTGTATTATCCAGTTATTGTAACTAAATCAAATCTCTTTGATTTTGACTCTCTTCTATGTTGATGCCTAGATATAGGTGTAAGAGCCTCACTAGTAACGTGCTTCTCTTGTGTTTAATGTGCTTTGCCAATTAAACACATTCTTGTTTTTGGAAGTAGTGAAGCATGAAGATATAAAGGTATTACAACCCATAAATCACTGATTTTTCTGAAATATGCATGAAGTTAAAAATTAGTTACAAAAATGCATTCATTTCAATAGGTATGTAGACGTGGCCTGTAAGCTGTGAAAGGTTTAAATACTTAGGACACTAGAGGGGCTGAGTCTAGGGAGCAAGTTCCTGGGAAGTGGGGGACTATCAGCTCCCATATTGGCCTTCATGTATYTGTGATGCATGTCAAATAGATGGAAGGAGAGATGATAATACTGCAATTATAATATAGATGCAAAATCCTAGGCTTTGCAGCATACTTGAGATTGTGCTCCTACAGCATCTTGATGTGGTAGGCACCATCCTCTGAATTTTCACAAAGCTTTGGCATCAATGTTAAAACATTCAGCCTTTAGTTCAGAACTAAATTTGCTCTGGTCATAGTGCAGTGTTGTAATACCCTATTTCCTCCCTCCATGCATTACAGTGCATGCTTTGGACTGAGGCAGTTAAAAGCAATAGACAAAAAAGGTTGTCAGCACCAGAATTTTAAATTACGGTAATTCTATCAAAGTTTGTGAACAGGATTCTATTCACTTAATTAGAATTAGTTTTCAATCTAATCCAAAGTACACAAGCAAATTTAAAYACCCCACCTAAACCTTTTCTACAAAAAATCCCTCCTCTCCGTTCATTTCAGCGGAGTAACATACACAGAGCCAAGCTTACTCTCAGTCAAATTCCCTTTTATTTCACAGATGTTAATTGCTAACAAASCTAAACAAATCTGCAGTTCAGATTGAGTCACTAAAACTTCTTCCAAAGAGCTGGAGGAACAGACTTTATGCATTTTTTTTGTCACTTCAACCCTTATTATTTCCTCTGCTTTGAAATACAACAGCAAAAACATTTTCACATTTAAACTTGTTTTACATAATTCTAACATTTTTAAGCTATACATTCTCTGCATGAGAACCAATAAATATGTTAGTGTGAAAACAGACTAGAAAATTTCATTCTAGAAATATAATTCATGAGAAACTTTCTTTCATAAGTAGATGACTCTTGTCAGCAATCCACTTAGAAATTTTCTGATTACCGCATTTGCACAGATTACACAGCATTCTTGGATTCACTCCTTTTATGAAAAAACACCACCAGTTTTAAACATACATAGCTGAAAATGGAAAGCAGCCTTAGGAATTAAATGGGGTTTTATGCAGCAGAATTGAGACATACCAGAAATAAATTAAGTTCAGTACTGAAGAACATTTTAAAGCATCCTAGCAATTAAATAGGAAGCTGGATGTAGTAACTATGAAGCTTTCAATCCAACCCTATCTTTGGAAAAGACAAGATTTAATATCACATTAGCTCACAATTTTTAAAATGTATTTGGTAACTCTGCTGGAGCACAGATCCTGCTTATTGCTTCGAAACATACAACATAATCATTGAGACCTAGATGCTTATCTAGTGTTCTTAATAGCCAAAATCAAAGAGAGGACGGTAGGAACAAAGGCACATGGTTAATTTATAAAAGTATTTACAAGGTACTTCAACACTTATTTCTATCTACTAAAAATTCATTCATCTTGAATTWAAAAAAAATAGGTTAAAGGAGTTAATCCTAAACAGATGTTCTTGAGCAATATAAACAGAGAATCTTATATGCCATTATTTCAATAGTTAAACTTCTCATTTTGAATATGGAATTTTCAAATACTGAAATTCATAAATTTATTATTCCTCTAAGCAATGTGATACTTTAGTGCAACCCTCTTCAAAGAYTGAAGCTGGCACAATTAAGGCAGTCTACTAACAGTGTTTAAAATTCAGCACACAGTGTTTAATCATTGAGGTGCCTGTCTCTCTGGAAAGCTGTCTTTTGACACCATCATCCTTCGAGCGCTGCAGTTTCAAACACAGCATGTTTAAACACCGCAGTTCTTGCAGTGTTTGGGGTTTTTTGGAGGTGGTAAGGGAGGAGTCTAACATCTGTTAGCTCCAACTGCAGGATGGGTAACATCCCCAAGTTGATGTGTAGCTTTACTGCATTCTGTGCTAACCTTCACAGGCTGCCAACAAGATGCTTCTAAATCTACACCAGTTACATTCAAACCTATAAAGCACTCTGTAAACCCTGGTGCTGTAATCTGCACTCCACTCATAGTGTTTCAACACAGTCTGCTGCAAAAAGCAAACTAATCTTCCTAGGGTGGGTTTTGACTTTTCATAGAAGTTCATTGATGCACACATTCGAAAAACCAAACCCTCTCTGAACAAATCAACCTAATTTCAAGAGGACTTCACATTCTGATTTTTTTTCCTATTGACTYGAACTTGCCATTTTGAAGGTATTATTTATGACTATGGCAAAAAAAATTATTCTAATTGTATGCAAATRGGTTTCCATTAAACTTCAGTAAGGCTATACAACAAAGGTGACTAGTGCTGTCTATCTATATAGATAAATTGGGGCCAGAACTGACTTGAATTATTAAAAAATTCCACAGGAGGAAGAAATAAAAAATAAATAACTGCATAGTATGTGATCCCTTTTATTCACCAAAGCTGCCCATGTTTATCCCAGGTGGAAGACAGCAGAACAGCTGCTCAGCATTCAGATGCAGGTGTTTAGTGCTCGCTGCAACATCTTTCCATCTTGCTTGCTGCCACATCTCTTCRTATGACAATTACAGAAGTGGGAAGGAAAAAAATTAGAGAAAATAGAAAAGCATTTTCCGACAGATCAGTATTTCTCAAATTTTTCATTTGAAATATTTAAGTAAATTTATTTATAGTGAAAGTCATCAGAAGACCATTCTCCTGGATTTAAAACATTTTGGTATTTTTCTTTGGAAAAAAAAAATTACGAAAAAATAAAAACAATACGCATTACTAAAACCACAGATGCTGTGGCTTTCCTGCCAGCCCCTCTCTCCTTACATATGTCCATAATGATGACAGAATCAGTTCAAATATGTCTAATCACTATCTAAATTAACAGGGTTGTAGTCAGGGTCATCCTCTTCATCCTCCAACTCTAAATCATCCATTTCTTGGAATAAAGATTCATCAACCTCCACATTGTTTCCAGCTGTTAAGGAACAGAAAAATAATTTATCTTCATGCAACAAGGGAAASAGTAACAACAATAAAACACATAGGACTATTTCACATTAATTTTTCAATGTAGGTTGCYGCTAACTTGGCTTTTTATACATCAAATAGATAATGGAAAAGTAAATGCCACAGTWTATCTTTTTACAGCTAAAATGAGGTGGTTTTTTTTTATTGTATCAAAACCCAGTCAAGAGAAACATCACACAGGATCTCAGAATTCATTTGGAGCATGAAATTAACATTTACATTTGCCAGAAGCAGAGATCCTTTCTASCCCAGGACAGCCAAAGTCAGAGCTMAGGACCTCACAACTGGAATAATCAMTACTACCCTAGTGAGATAAATGCACAGGGTTTGTAAAAAATTCCTTACATACCACAGAGCAAGCATACATATATTTGCTCTCAGATTTGAATTTTACAAACAAGATGAAGTTTTGCCTACTTTCACATTTTCTTCTGAAAGAGATGCTGTTGATCTAAGGATAAACTTGAATACTCCTGCTATTTTATTTTTACAATATCAACAGTGACATCTTCTGGCCACCACTTAAAGGTCCTATTATTTCAYTGGATTTGAAAGCACCTTTACAAGACAATGCCATTATCCTCTGAAAATTAGCAGTACATGCTACTGTAATATTAAAATAGATTTAGTAACCTGCCTCATCTATGATAGAATGCAAACAAATTRGAGTTTTTAATCACCAGTAGCAACAGGATTACAAATTAAAGAATTAATCCCAAATCATCTGGGCAGAGAGACCAGGTGGAGGTCTGTTCCTCCCTTGAGGCAGTCAAATGTGCCATGTGCAAACCATCTTCACGTTAGGTATTCTGGAGGAAGACAAGGTTAAATTATTCCCTGAAAAACTAAAAGAAACTAAACTTCCCCATTACTATCATTTTAAGTTTATACTGACATTCATAAAATTTTTCGTTATTTGTTCCTAGCAGAAAAGAATCCTGACTCTCTTCTGCCTGTGTTTTGTGATACCAGTAGATAACGCAGCTACATTAAAGAACTGTCTTACCTCAAAAATCAGGTATTTTAAACTACGATACTAGGAAGCGGAACATCAAATTAAGTAAGTATGTTACTGTGAGTAGTTTTATATGCTTTATCTCCCACAAATTTTCCAGATTTAACGTTTTTCTGGCACAGGCTTACCAAATTTTCATCTAGCACCAAGTCAATATTTTAAGTTGTGCAGGCACATCTGCACAAACCATGAAGAATAACCGGGTTGCACATAAGCAAACAGCATTTATTTTGACCTGCAAGATGTTTACAATCAGTGYTGATGGTCAGAGAGGAGACAGAACTTCAAGACCTGTTCTTGAAATGAAGGGTTAGAAAGCTGGCTATTAGTAAAAAAGATAAAAAATAAATCAGGGTTGGGTTGGGGTCTTTTTTTTTTC